CAATGGCGTTCCTTTCCCCAAACAGAACTCTGCCCAGACCCCAAATAGATGTCCTTTACATCTTCTAAGCAGAATCTTTAAGAAACAGTAAATTACTCTTCCTGTAAGAGTGTACACCGGAAAAGTCAGCACCTTCCACTTCCTGCTAAACTTGCTCCAGACTGATTCCCTCTGAAAAGCTGCATCTGGCTTCCTTCAATTTTCAGCCTGTGTCCCTGGCCCTTCTGTCTCCCTCCACACTCCTTTGACTCACTTTTCCAGTGGGATGGGAAGACTCCAGATCTCCTGCTAGATCAGTCACACCCTATTTTGCCTGCCAGTAACAGAAAACCCAGCTTCACCTGACTTATCTCAGTGGGTCTCACAGTTTGGTCCTGCAATGTCCTCTGTGAACCTGTCAGAGATGCTCACCCTCCCACCCATCTCCAGATGTACCGAAGCAGATGTTCTAGGTCTAGAACCAGCAGTCTGCATTTAAAGGAACCCTCTGAAGTCCCTCAAACACTGATTTAAATGAATAAAATGTATTGCCTTCCATCGCTAAAAGTCCAAAGGTGATAGGTTCTGAATGCAGTACAACAAGCAAGTTTGACTATGGAGTCTTGAGGGATGGCCTCTTCCTTTCCTGTCGTCATCCTTGCTGTACTGGCTTTGCCCACGGCCCGCTGCTGAGTCTGCTGCCCTGGAAACACAGTGATGCCCTGAAGGCACCAGGTGTCAGTCCTGACCTCCTCTCCTATTTAGTAGAAATGCCTTCCTGGAATCCAGGCGACTACCCCACACCAATTCTGCTTTGCACGGAACGGCAATATGTCCTCTGCTGCCAACTGTATGTCTGTCGTGGGCAGAAGAGGCCTAGCTTCCCTTGGCACACATGGCCGCAGACAGGAGCTCAAACTCGGGCCTCTTGGAAGCTAAACCCGTAGAGAAGTGGCAGTTTAGGAAGACGGTGCTGCGACACTGTATCATTCCTTGGAGATGAGGTTCCTAATACAGTTAGAATCACGGCAGCAGAAATAGAAAACCACATTATGTATTCTTAATGACAATTTACCGGTCTGCCCAAGGGTTCGTGGCAGTAAAGAGAAAGGCCTATGTACCTTGCCTGAAACTTCCATGCATGGCAATGCTTGGCACGCCCCCCAAGCAGCCCGGAGATTGATTTCCTGAGCCAGGCTTATGAATTAGGCATTCGGTTTTGTGGCATGGAAGATGCTCATTTACATTTCCCCTGCAGGTGCGGACTGCCAGTGGTTAGACACTCTGCGCTTGCGGCAGATTGCATCCCACACTTCTCTACAGCGTTCCCAGAGCAACCCCATCCTGGGGTCCCCTTTCTTCTCATACTTTGCCAACCAAGATTCCTATGCCGCCGCGGTGAGGCGCACCCAGACGCCCGTGAAGTACCAGCAGATCACACCCATCAACCCTTCCAGGAGCTCCTCCCCGACGCAGTACGGGCTCACCAAAAACTTCTCCTCCCTGCACCTCAACTCCAGGGACAGCGGCTTCTCCAGCCTCAACACCGACAGCTCCTCCGAGAGAGGCCGCTACTCGGACCGCAGCAGAAACAAATACAGCCGCGGGAGTGCATCCCTCAACTCTTCCCCCAGGGGAAGGTACGGGGGCAAAAGTCAGCATTCTGCACCTTCACGGGAAAGGTATTCTGGAAAGTACTACAGGGTGCCCCAGCCAGCACTGAACACTCATCAGTCCCCTGACTTCAAGAGGAACCCGAATGAGCGTAGTGCGCCCAGGACCATCCCCGGGATGCCTCTGCACCCCGAGGCTGCCTCCAGAGGCGGCGAAGAGGAGAGCAGGGTGAGCGAAGGGGGCTGGACTAAAGTGGAGAACCGGAAGAAGACGCACAGGCAACTTCCGGCCAAGAGTGGCAAGGAGAGAACCCGGGGCAACTACCGCGGGCGGAGGAACTTTTGATGATTTGAATAGATGGGCTTTTCCAAGCGGGTTTTGCGGTGGTTTGTGCAATAGAGACTTTTGGTAACAAGACATCTTCAGATTCCAGAAACCAAAAAGACTAGTTTCGGGGCTAGGAAACACCTTTTAATTGAAAGGACAACCAAAGCAGGGCCACAATTATGGCCGTTGGTTTTCTAGTGGTGGCGATTCGACTTGACCATAACTGTCTATGTTTCGTACCCTGAATTAATATTGAAACAGGAAGGGCTGTGCCATTAATTCCATGCTGGACAGGTTCTCCCTAGCCAACTTGGGACTAGAATAAAGCTAGCTAGTGTGGGCCACGGAAATATCAAATTTCTAGATGAAAACAGGACATGTCTTATTTTCCCTTTCATCTAAGGTCCCAAGAATACTCCGCAAGGCACTGTGGCTGATCCTTTATTTAAAATGTGGATATTTTGTTCATCGTGAGTTTTTTGCGTTGATTTAACTACTGCGATAAAAAAAAATATATCATTTATCTTTATTGTTGAGGGATATTTTTAAAATGCCTCCCTAAATTTTGTGCCCAAGGCAAGGGAGTCACTCATCTCAACCCTGTTAGTATTTATTTTAGTGAGATATTCGTGTTTCTGTCATGGTCAGAACTGAAGTGATTTGGCTTGTCATTTTTAGGTAATAAAAAAGATGGTTAAAGTTAATGTTGACTGTATGGTATTTATCTCATTTATTGAGGCTCATCAGACAAAAGGTCTGAATGGCCTGGAGATTTGTGACTGCTTCCTTTCCTGAGCTCCCGGGACTCTGGTTGGGTGTTAGTTCCCACCTTCACCAAAGAAGGAGCAAGGAGGGGGAAAACAGTCCATACAGCATCCTTGGTATGTCAGAACTCTAAAAACCTAAAAACAAACAAACAAACAAACAAAAACAGATGGAACAGGATGTTACCATCTCAGGCTAAAATCCAGGGAAATTACCATCAGCCTTGTTAGAGCGAGACAATAAATCCCAGCCTTGCAGCGAGTCGGTGTGGAGCAGCAGGGAGTTAAGAGGAGGCTGTGTATAGTCTAGAGCCGGTAGCTTGTGACACACGAGGATACGAGGATGGGGTTTGCAGCACTGTGAAATGCTTCCTGATTTACAAATCAGAAAGTCAGGTTGGCAACAAACCTGTTGTGCGTCACATAGATAAATGTTACCCTCAGTATGCTAAGATTCTTTTCAGTACTCATTGGCACTAAACACTAGGTGCCCTTTGGTCTCGGGGATTCTGGATGCCCCGTGGGGCTCCAGATGAGTCATGGGTATTCTATAGGGTTGAATTCTCTTCTTATGTTAGAGAGAGCAGGCTGGTGCAGTACGTGGGGTCTGCTGGGATCATCAAGGATCTTGTAGGATCAAAGTCGAGACGGTAGGAAATAGCTTTCATTGACAAGGGAAACGTCATGGCCCAAAATTGATTCGGCAACTTAATTTTATTGACCATCTGCACTAACTCACAAGCAAAGCAAGGGGTGTGCAAATCAAGATCATTTTGGTGGGTATGCAGTACTCATGTTCATCATGGCGGACCAACTCGTAAAGCCCCTACTCTTCCTTTTCTCCCCGCCTTCATATCAAGCCAAGCCTGCCTCCAGTTCTTTTTTTCCCTTTGGCCTTTCTTCATGTTCGAACAACAGCAACAGAAAGTGTTTGAGCAAAGTGCTATCTTTATATGCTGTTTCCAAATAGGCAGTCCATTACTAGAGAATTTTTGGATAAACAGCTGGATGCTGTCTTGAATCAGTCACTCTGAAAGGAATAGCAAGCATGGTGTGAGTCGGTACAGCAAATACACAGTGTGGGGAAATGGTGACATGTCCCCTTTAAAAGGTGCTGTGCAAGTGACCTGTTGGTGTCGTGCCCCTCGCCACCATCTTGCTTTTGTGGATCCTGAGTTAGAAGATCCAAACTAGCATTAAAGTGGCGGCATGTTCTCAGCCTTCTTTTGTACAGTGGTTGAGCATACAAAAAAAAAAAAAAAGTTACTGCAGCAGCCCAACAAACTGACCACTTTGTAATGTCTCATGGAAAAATACTTGTCAGCATTGAAGCTTCCAGTCAAAATCAAAACAAGAACAGCTGCAGTCTGGTTTTGGGTTGTAAAGAAACAGAAGAGTTGGATGTGCTTTTCTGGCTTGGCGCGCTCTCTCTCTCTCTCTCTCTCTCTCTGATGCTTACTCATCAAACATAATTTGCCAGGTTAGAAGACAAATGTAAGTTAAAAGCAGAACAAGAATTAACAGGACATGTATCATCAAAATAACTGGCAAAACAGAAATGTAAAAAATAGCAGCCTAGGGTTTAGTTACACACTTAACATCCAGAAGGCCTTGGGTTCAGTTCTCAAAACAAGCAACAAAGTGAATCATTTTCCAACAGTCAGGAAGCGTGTTCGCTGGAAGAGGCTGAGGTTAGGGCAGACGGGAAAATTTCTAGGTAAGAACCTAAGGTATAGCACGTAGCAGAGCACGTGCATTCACAAGTGAGCCGACCAATAATTGTTTTCATCTGGTTCACAGCGAATGTGAAAAATTAAACAATGTCCTTTCGATGATGGAGAGTGAAATTTATTTCAGTAAAATCTACCTGGGAACTCTACCTTCACTACCTTTCCCAGCGCAGTGGTACCAAAGCAGTTTATAGGCTCCCTAGTACCCTTCTCTGCAATATATTTTACCTGAGCAAGTTGGCACAGAGGTGGAATGCTTCTGCGGGAAATTGGGTTAAGGAACTTCCTGCAAAAGCCAGCTCCCAGCTGAAATATGAATGCAAAAAAAAAGTTTTAAATACATAAATTACGTTCCTTGTAAACTTTAAATTATATATTAAACCCATGGGAAAACCCCATTCTGAGGGAAAACGATAATATCAAAGAGCCAAGGAAAGGGCTCACTTGCTGCTCAAGCCTGACAGTGAAACAGTAAACTCGGTGTCCACACGATGAGGTGAAAAGCAGCGAATGGCCCAGGAGCTCGAGGGCTGGCCAGCCTAGAGAACAAGGGGAGGCAAAGAAATGAGAGACTTCTTGCTTCTTGACATGAAGTGGAAGGTGAGGACCGACTGTTGAGTATTATCCTCTAACCACCACGCTCATGCCTTGTCAGGTACATGCCCTCACTCATGTACACACACACACACACACACACAACATACATAACACACATACACACACATGATCGATGTTATACCACAAAAGAAATTAAATAGATAAAAATATTTACTCTGTATTTGTATTAACAAAACCATTGCTCAATATTTATCTAACTGATCTAGTTATCTATAAAAACAGCATCAAGGTATCCTGGGGTCAGAACAGAGTGGTCAGAATATCCAAGAGTTCAACATGGCAAGGCCGAAACATCCTCAAAGTACTCTGATTTCACTGTGCCTCTTCCAAGGCAGAGGTCCCAAAATAATTTATAAACTTCCTAGGAGCCGTCTTCCACAGTCTTCCACCTCGACAGGTTGGTACAGATGTGGTATGCTCAGGAACTCTGGCTCCAGAAACTGATGTCATGAGCTGCCAGGGCTTGGTTGTGTGAACTTGTCCGGAATGGAGCATCAATTAATTCTGAAATTACAGAGACTGCACTTTAGGAGCCTTAAACAATGTCTTGCTATTGTTGAATTTAAGAACTACCTTAATTTAAGAACTACCTTGAGTCCCGGCTGCCCCGAGGAGATAAGAGCTCAGGCCTAGGCCTAGCTCCTCTGGTCCACCTGCCAGTTCTGCGACTGCCTTATGAGGTGACTGGCGTGGCAAAGAGCCAAACCCACGGCAGAGAGTTTCCAGTTACTCATGCCAGTGGCTTCTTTCTCGCCCTCTTACCTAACCAGTGGTCATGCCTGGCCAAGCCACCACAGTTCAAAACTGGAGGCTTCTCCAACCTCTGTTCACAGCTAAAGTTCAGCCCTGATAACTCAGTCTACCGGAGGAGTTCCTTTCCTACCAACAGCTGTGTTTCTCTCAGCCCTCGGAGTCCAGCTGAGAGAAAAGATTTGAGCAAAACCTTCACACAGGCCACTCTCTGTCAAAGCTCACATAAGCAGAACAGTAATCACCAGCAAGGCCCACCCAAAGGGACTTAGAGATCCACTGGGTCTGCAAAGTACACAGCTGTGGCGGTGGTGATCATGTGACCAAGCTCTTGCCCCTCTTCTGTATTGCACTTCCTAGGGCCCTCAGGGACTCACTCAGGCATCCCATTCAGCCACGCAAATTAGCCGCCCTTTTGTCTGTTAACTTCAAAACTTTGTACACCAACCCGCTTCCACAGGCAGCCTGAGCCTGCAGCAGAAAGGTTGCTCTCTGTCGGGAGTGTTCCATGATCTCCAGCCGCCGCCCTGTCCTGCCCTATTTGGCAATACAGTCACATATATCGATCTCTCTATTGGAATTTTCCCCAGGTCTGTCTGCATTTGCTTGCAAGGATAGGCTGTGAGATGCATGGTCATATTATATATATTGTATATTGTTACATATTATACTATATTAATTATTGTATCTTGGTCACTAATAGAGCTTTTAAACAATACTCCATCTATTCAGTGCATGGAATGATAGATAACTAACGAGGCTACCAGACCTTCAAATCCTCTAAATTCTTGTTCTAATTTCACACTCATCAAGTGTCATTAATAGAGCCTCCAAACCAAAAAGTAGATCTAGTGTTAAAGCAGCTGCCTTTCTGATATCATCTACATCCATCTCTGGAGAACTTGCACACGAGTCTGCCCCTGAACACAACCCCAAGATGAGACATCGGTTATGTTCTGGGCCATATTTACTAGGAGTCACTTCTGGGTGTCCTGAGGCCTTCACAGGAAAGACCAGCCTGGTTTTCCCAAAATGCTTCTCCTTGCCTTGGAGGAAACTGGGTTCATGTTTGTTTGGAAGTCGTACACTCAGCATAGCACTCTGAATGCCGGCTTTCAGTTACTGCTGCCACGGGAGGGACAAAGAACAGAGATACTGCGTGTATGGTACCCAGAACTATGCACAAACCCTGCCCCCGGCCGGGCGATGGTGGCGCACGCCTTTAATCCCAGCACTCGGGAGGCAGAGGCAGGCTGATCTCTGTGAGTTCTAGACCAGCCTGGTCTACAGAGCTAGTGCCAGGACAGGCTCCAAAGCCACTGAGAAACCCTGTCTCGAAAAAAAAAAAAAAAAAAAAAACCTGCCCCTGGCAGTTGTCTTTACCCGTCCCAGGTCCTAAGCCCACTCTAAGGGCCTCACAATGCCCATTCTCACTGAGGCTGGCGAGGTTTTGTGTTGATCAGGACAATTCAAGATTTGTCAGCTGGTTGTGCCTGATTATCAAGATGTCCAAACTGGCTCCTTTGCTATGTGTAAGCAATTTAATTTTGAGCCTAATTTTAATCTGCTTTACACTGTATGTCTGCATCTGCTGTGTTAAAGCCATCATTAGCATTTAAAGGGAAAACTGACGGTATTGATCACTCTTATTAAAACCAAACAACTGTACAGCCGAGAGAATGAGCAGGCTCTCCAGCCACTGCAGCCCCAGCCAAAGTCGATGTCCTCAAAACATCAACACAGATGGAAAATGGGACATCAAAGCAGGGGTGCGACATCTGCAAGGGGCACTTAAAGCTTGCCACCCCACCCCAGATCCCCAGCTTCTGATCTTCTTGAAAACAGCCAGCTCCCTTTGTTTCTGAACTCCTTACATGTCTTCCAGCTAACAAACAATGGCTTCTTGATAGGCTTTGGTGCGTGAATACATCTAAGAAAGGTTAAGAATCCTTTGTGTTATATAAAATGTCCCTCGGGATCAATCACATCTTTATTACAGACCTTGTAATAGCTTTGGATTGCTGTGTAACAAATGTCCCCCAAGAATAACTTAAATCTTTATGATCCCATATGGTTTCTATGGGTCCAAAAATTCAGGAGTGGCCTTGATGGCTGGTTCTGTTTTTTTGAGACAGGGTCTTTGTCTTAGAGGGTTTTGTTTTGTTTTGTTGCTGTGAAAAGACACCATGACCACAGCAACTCTTATAAGGAAAACGTTTAATTGAGAGACTTGCTTACAATCCGGAGGTTCAGTCCGTTGTTATCATGCCAGGGAGCATGGTGCTGGAGGGATAGCCGAGAGTCCTATATCTTGCAGGCAACAGGAATTTGACTGACAGTCACACTGAAGGCCACCTGAGCAAAAGAGACCTTGAGCTCCGCCCCCACAGTGACACACTTCCTCCAACAAGGCCACACCTCCGAATAGTGCCATTTTCTTTGGGGGCCATTTTCTTTCAAACCACCACAGTCTTGCTGTTTCTTACACTCCTGGAACTGAATTTAGTCCAGGGTGGCCTTGAACTTGTGATCCCAAGCTGCCTCAGCCTCTAGAATGTCTCACTGCGCGTGTCTCATCCTGCTGGGCTGCTCTGAGATTTTGAAGAAGTACCAATAGAGGGTTGACCGAGTTGCATTCCTATGAAGGAGGCAGGAGAAGCTGCTTCCAAGATAGTCTCTCTAATGGTACTTACTGGTTGTTGGCAAAATGCCTCAGTTTCTCCTTGTGTATGTCTTTCCACAAGCTCTAAGCACTTGGGGTATAGTGACTGGATTCTTAGGAGAGAGCTACCCAAGAGGCTAAGGACAGACACACTATATTTTTTGCTTGGTTTCAGAACCCTTGCCAAGTCCTTTATGGACTATCTTGCTGCTTGCACAGGTTAACCTTGTTCAGTCTCAAAGGAAGAAAACACCAGGCAGTGAAAGTCCTTGGAAGGTCATTTCGTAAGCTGACTACCAGGGACACCCATAGTCTCCATATTCCCCTTTGTAATTTGAATCTTAATTTTGTCTCTTTTGCTTGTTTTACATTTTCCACAATCTATAAGTTAAATGTGAGCATAGTTCATTTGGACACAGAACAGGAAGAACTAGTACCCTGGACTTGGATTTCTCAGTCTCCAGAACTATAAGAAACCAAAGAACCAGCCTGCCTCCATCTTGGGCTTGAAAGCCATCTTATAATAAAGACAAACTAGGTTCATTCCTGTTTATGATTAAATCTGTTTCTCAAGGGTTAGACTATGCCCTTCTTGTAATCTAGCTACAGATGGTTCTGCACTGCCTGTTCCAGGAATGGCAATCATGTCTTTGTTTCAAAAAGTTAATAACTGTCTTGCAACCTTACCTTTGTTTCAGAAGGGTTGCTATGGTTACCTTGTTATGACTGCCTGTTCTTATGACCACCTTGCAATCAAGTGTTTGTTTCAGGAGGTTATTATGATTAACTTGTTATGCTTATGTTCTGCTCCTGCATCCCCACCTATTTTGCCTGCCAAATCTCCATTTGGAAAGCTCCACCCCTGAGCTATAAAAAGCCTTGTCTTCCTCACATCCAATGCTGACTTCTCAAGCACCATCTTATGGGGAGCAGCTCATGTACACAAATAAAAATGCCTCCTTTAATTAATTTGGCTGTATGATTTGGGTCTGGTCTTTCTCCTCCAATCTTTGGATTAACAAATCAAACATTCCTTTTTTAATCTATTTATTATTTGTATTTTATGTGCTTTGGTGTTTTGCCTGCATGTATGTCTGTGTGAGGGTGTCAGATCCCCTGGAAAAAGGAGTTATAGATAGTTGTGAGCTGCCATGTGCGTGCTGGGAATTGAACCTGGGTCCTTTGGAAGAGAAACCAGTGCTTTTAACCACTGAACTATCTCTCCAGCCCCTGAAATGTTCCTTTTTAGCAGCCTAATCTATGTCAAAGGTTTGAACCCTAAAAATGGCTTTGACATTAGACTGAGGTGTGACTCAATGGTAAAGTATTTGCCTGGCATGTGCCAGGCCCTGGGCTGCATGGTTGCCAGTGAAAGAGACACCATACCTGTTCAAACTCACAGAAGTAGTGCTTCTGATTATAGTTAGCATTTACTCACTGTATTGTGCCAAGCCTGTTCTAAATTCCTTCCTTGTTTAACCACCCAAACCTATGAATTAGATGCTATTATTGTCTCCATTTTCCACTTGAGGAGGTTAGCTATTTATCCAAAGTAATTAGAAGAAAAGAAGAACCATAAGAGGGTAGGACCCACAAAGACTAGAGAATGCCTCAGAATTTGAGGTGCCTGGAATGCTAAGCCCTCGCTCTGGTGTTATACCATTGATGCAATTAAGTTGTCAGTTGTAGCCAACAGGGAAAGGACAAGAGGGTTGCAAAAGATATGACCCTGCTTTCTTCCTCCCAGAATTCTATCTTAACCCACATAAGTTCTGCCCTATCAAAAGGCCAAGGCAGTCTCTTTATTCAACCAATGAAAACAACACACAAACAGAAGGCTCCTACACTAGCCTAGGCTTGCTCCCAATTAGTTCTTGGAACTTAAACTGTTTATATTAATCTACATTCTACCCTGTGGCTCATTACTTTTCCTTAGTACCATATGTCCAACTTCCTCCACATCTCATTGGCAAATCCCCCACTCTCAGATTCTTCCCAGAGTTCCTATCTCTGCCCAGAAGTCCTGCCTGTCATCTCCTGCCTAGCTATTGGCCATTCAGCTCTTTATTAAACCAATCAGGTGTCTTAGGCTGGTGAGGTAAAACAGCAACACATCTTCACACAGTGTGATCAAACATCCTGCACACATACTAAAGGACATGAAGTCTTCACACCACCAGATGTGGTGGTTCCTGGCTATAATTTACCACTGAGACTGAGGCAGGAGGATCTTAAGTTCAAAGTCAGCCTGGAGTACACTATAGAGTAAGCCCTTGTCTCAAAACATGATGAAATGGCATTGATTTTGTTTACATTTAGTTTATGGATTCATCAGGGCAGTAAAACATTGAAAGACAACTGTAAATTACGACGCTTATATTCTTTTCAGTGGTGGTGTTTAAGAAACATTTATAACCAGAGTAATAATACTTAGAGAATGTAATAATCTCTTTCTTCCAAACACTCCTTTAAATTTTTTTTTTTGGTTTTTTTTTCGACACAGGGTTTCTCTGTGGCTTTGGAGCCTGTCCTGGCACTAGCTCTGTAGACCAGGCTGGTCTCGAACTCACAGAGATCCGCCTGCCTCTGCCTTCCGAGTGCTGGGATTAAAGGCGTGCGCCACCATCGCCCGGCTAAATTTTTTATTACATTTATTAATTTGTTTATGCAAAGGTGGGGGCAGGTTGTATATACCATGACAATTCTACCAAGTGAGTCCCAGGGATTGAACTCATGGCGTTGAATTTGTCTACAAATACCTTTACCTGCTGAGCCACCTTGCCAGCCCATGTTCTTCCTTTTATAGGAATATAATAAATTGCTCAGCAGTGGTAGCACACCTCTTTAATCCCAGCAATCAGGAGGCAGAGGCAGGCAGATATGTAAATTCAAGACCAACCTGGCCTACAGCATGAGTTCCAGGACAGCCGGGGCTCCACAAAGAAACCCTGTCTTGCAAAAACCTAAATAAGTAAATAATTTAAAAAGTTGTTTGACTTTAGACAATAGTGATTTAGCTCAGCCCTTCTCATTTTCAGATGGTGGGCAGGACCCTGGGGCGTAAAGAAAGCTACTGAGCTACTTGAGACCCAAACTGTTGTTTTTATCTACCTGCTGGGTACTTGGGTCCCACAGGAAGATGGTGACAGATCTCTATTGTTTAGAACTCTTTGTTTTGGAGACTCAGACCCAGAAGAGATTTCTCTTTGCCTCCCCATCACCTGGCTGTAGCCACTTCCCGAGGTTTCCGCCTTTATTCTCACCCGGCCCCAGAAGTGGCCATCATCAGAATCAGTCACTGTGTGTCAAGTGTTTTCTAAGTGTGTCATTGGACCTCACAAGTCCTGCATTGTTTTCGGTTCTGTTCCGTTGACCATTTTGTTTTTCTGAGCCTTTGTCTGGCTGGCGTTTCTCTAGCAGGGCAGCTTTTCGGGCTGAATAGCAGCTGAGTGCTCCTGCAGGGTGGCCCCTATCAGACCATTGTGCTTGTTACAGGCACCAGGAATTAATGATACTTGTCTAGTCATTATCTTGAGAGCTTGTTGTTGTCCTTAAAGAGAGATGGTTCATTTTCCTTGGTATATGACTGTGGTGATTTGGTTCTCAATAAAAGCCAGTTTGCATACTTGTGAGGTCATTGTATTCTACCGTGTTCTGCTGCGAGCTCTGTTTCCCTCAGCCAGGTTCTCTCAAAGGAAACATCCTGCCCCTGGTACCCTTGACCATCACTTTTACACAGCTGGAGTTTCTCAGACAAACAGGAAACCTATCAGATGGAACGGTGCCTGGCCGTCATTGGTGCTAAACAAGCAAGCCTCAGATGTGGGGGCTGCCAGGGGCTGCCTGTGTTACGACATCTTATCTACACTTTCCAGATGTGGAAAAAATTTCCAGGAGGTATTAGGGAAACAAAGAAAGCCATCCGAATTAGAATGCAGAGGAACCTAACTTTCGTCTTTGGTCCAATCACTGTGCTCTCCTTCACCACATTGTCACCTCAGGACAAGGCCGAGTCCGGCCGCAGTTTGGGAAATACAGCCCGCAGAAGCTTCACCAGGTTGTGTTCACCCCTGTAATCTTCAGGAGAGATGTAGGGCAGAGACAGATGCTCAGGCCCGCTAGCCCGGAGTACACAGCATCAAATAACAACATCCAAGAAAAAGGCTGTCTCTCAAGTAAGAGCTGACAGCAGAGCTTGTCTTGCACACACATAAAAAAAAAAAAAAAAAAAAAAAAAGATAAAACTCCTGGGGTTGGCAGAGGCTCGGTGGCAGAACACGTGCTTTGTATGCACAAGGCTCTGAATTTGGTGCCATTATCACGAAGAACAAAAACTCAGGATGAAACTCAGGGGGCCCCAGGTATGAGGGCAAACCAGATTATCTGAGCTCCAACTCCGACACACACTTTCTTTTTTTATTTGATTTGATTTATTTGTATTTTATGGGTGAGGGCTCTGCATGTGTGCCTGCAGGCCAGAAGAGGGCATCTGATCCCACTAGAGATGGTTGTGAGCCACCATGTGGTTGCTGGGAATTGAACTCAAAACCTCTGGAAGGGCAGCCCTAAAACCCCTGAGGCATCTCTGCAGTCCCCCAACTCACACTTTCAAACTGTGATCAATTACCTACCCAAACTGCGTTTCGGTTTCATCAAGAGCATCATAAGATAATAATAGTACCTACCCCATCTCATAAGCTAAACTGCTTAGTACCGTGAGAGCCCTGCATGCAAGTAGCTATTACAATATACAATCAATATTATAAAAGTGAGATCCACTCCAACACCTATCAGTCATTTGAGTGACACACTGCCTCCATGCTTGACCCTGGTTCATGAAAACCACTGTCAGAAAATCAGTAAAACGCACATACAATTGTCACAGTGAAGGGAATCGGCCGCACACAGTCTCCAAAGCAATTTCTGCCTGACAGGCAATACTGGAAGCTAACTGGCAGTTAACAGGAAGTTAGCTTCCCAGCAAACAAACTTGATTGGGTCTCTAATAAACTAGAGTGTTAGCCCCTGAGTTCTGAGGCTAGAAAGTCCAGTCAGGTGCTGGAATGTGGTCTCCCTTAGTATTTTGCAGCCCAGGGTTACACTGCCTTCATTTCAGCCCCACCCAGTGATGTTCCCACATACACAAAAGCTGTAAAAAACAAAAAAAAACATCAACTCAGCTTGCTGAAACCTGCTGCACAGAGAGACAGGCATGTCCCAGTTACTGTCTAACACTTACCTAGGGGCTTGCACGAGTTCATTCTTGCTCCTTTGCTTCCTGTATACCTTCCGTCTGGAACACAGGTGTTTGCTTGTGCCAACATCTGGGAGGGGTCGAGAGATGGGGCTGAAGACCAAACCTATCTCCCTTAAAGCCCATGTTTTCCACACAGCCGACCCCCACTTAGTCTGAGGTCATGTTTCAAAGACCGCATCTAAATTTTACCTCTCTAGGGAAGTGTCTTGAGATCTCACTGCTAGATTATTGAAACACCAAAGACAAAACCACTTCATTTGGTCACTGAGAGGAAAAGAGCTTGAGCCGGAAGGCCCTCCTGACGCTTCCTGTCTACCAATGATCACATTCCCCAAGACAGTGGCGATGAGGACACTTTGTCAGTGACTGCATGTGGTGCTGGAGCATTGGTCACTGATTCAAGGTGTCAACCCTGAAAAGAATTCCTGGACTAGCTGCTATAAAGTTAGGAGTCAGCGAGGCTTAGGAGACAAAGAGGTGCCCAGAAAAAGTAAGACATATCCAAGTGTGGGCAAGTGCTTCCCACGGGAGAACAGAGAATGTAAGATACGTCCCACTGTGGGATGGGCTCGAGGAAGAGGCACAATGGTTCCATTCACGTCTTAGCATTAACCTTATAGACCATTCTCTGGACTTTCAAGTTATATCTTATCTGGTTGCTAGGAAGCTTGCTGGCTTGCTGGCTTTTGATAAGGAAAATTACAGGGTGGCTCTGAAGATATCTTAGGCAAAGTGATCATCTGATAAGGTAAAACCAGAAGCCCCAGGGTTACACAATGGTTTTAGTGAGTGCTGTCCTGTCCCTGTAAAAAGAGGTCTCTGGGGAGATTCCCAGAACATCCTTTGTAGCTGGGAAGAAATGCCTCAAGCAGTTAAGAGTGCTGGAATTCTTGTTTCTCTGCTAGCTTCAGTGAGAGCCAGGGTGAGGGCCTTCTCACGTCTTCAATAAACAATTATGACTCCAGCTAAGAGTTTAAACAGACTGTATATACAATTACTTTCTTTCTTTCTTTTTTTTTTTTTTTTTTTTTGGTTTTTCAAGACAGGGTTTCTCTGTAGCTTTGGTGCCTGTCCCGGAACTAGCTCTTGTAGACCAGGCTGGCCTCGAACTCCCAGAGATCCGCCTGCCTCTGCCTCCCGAGTGCTGGGATTAAAGGCGTGCGCCACCACCGCCGGGCTACAATTACTTTCTTTTTTTTTAATATTTATTTATTATGTATACAATATTCTGTCTGTGTGTGTGTGTGCCTGCAGGCCAGAAGAGGGTATTACAGATGGTCATGAGCCACCATGTGGTTGCTGGGAATTGAACTCAGGACCTTTGGAAGAGCAGGCAGTGCTCTTAACCTCTGAGCCATCTTTCCAGCCCTACAATTACTTTCTTTAATAGAATTTTCCCCCTAGTATAGGCCTCACTGTGTAGCCTTAGCTAGCCTGCAACTCACTAGGTAGACCAGGCTGACTTCAAACTCACACAACTCCTGCCTTTGCCTCCTAAGTACTAGGATTAAAGGTGTGCACCACAGTACCTGGCCTTGAAATTTTTAAAATATTACACTCGTGTCCTTGTGTGATTGAAAATTGGGCGACATTTTCGCTCTCGGTTATACTCTTATTGTCTCTTCTTGATGAATTCCCTGTCCTGAGCACTGAGATTGCTTGACTGTTTCCAAGTTATACACGATGCTGCAACGAACATCTTTATATCAAAACTCACGTGCTCTCTGCATATTATTCCCAGAGGATGTAAATTCCCAGATGGGAAGAAGAGAGAGAAGTAAAGCAGACAAGAGTGGATGAGAAAGAGTGGCAGGTTTGGGAAAAGGAGATGACTACACAAAATACAGGTGGGGGCCTGTTTGTTTGGTATCACATCACGTATGATTCAGGACGCTCGGCAGCTTGTTTTAGTTTTCAGAACTGTTGCGGTACTCTCGTACAGACCCATAGGCTCCACTGTGATATTTGCATGTAAGAAGCCTCCATCATAACAGTAGACTAGTTTATATTGCTCTCTTCATATTTAGCAAGCCAAACTCTATTCCTAAATGCATCCTGTAAACCAGCAATTTTTGCAACTGTGTCCTCAGGTTTAGATTTCTCAGTGTAATCTTCCTTACACATTCGTTTCTCTGCTGAGATCCCCCCCACTATTTGCTCCTTGTGACTTTCTTTATAGTGTTCCGTCCGGCAACTTCTCTGCATTCTTTGATGGCTAATTCGAACATGTGCCATCTCTAGGTGCGCTTCTACCTTATAGTTCCTTTTCCTTGCCTGTAAGGTGGAATTCCCCTGTTTCTATGTGCTAGCTACTTCCTGCTTTATTGAACATTGCGAGTGATACTTTGTGGGGACTCTGGCTTTTGTTACGTTTCTCTGAAGATTTCCGTCCTATAAACAAATTATTGGCTGGCCACCTCAAGTTTAAGAGTCTTGATTGATGTCCCCACCACCACCATCACCACTGCTGGCCTATTTAAAACCCAAGGTGTTTACTCGATCTCTTTAACCTGGCAGCCCTCAAATGCCAAACCCCTCTGCAGTAGACAACAGCGAGTTTGCCTGATCAGTTCTTCCAAGCTTCCAAACTTTCCCTTTCCACTGGACATGGCAGGGTCATCTGAATAAGCTGAGTTCAGAGGCGGATGAAGTATTTGACAGTTTTGAAGCAGATGTGGGGACCCCCTCCTCTGTGGCTCCTCCTTTTCTGGGCGTTCACCCTAGGTTTCTAGTCAGGTCTCAGCCTCTAACTGCTTAAAATGGGGTTTTCAGAGGCTTCTGCCTGCCATACTGTACACGTACTGTACACGCGGGAAGGGGCGAGGTAGATGTGGCATTCTGCTGGCCTTTGTGGTTTCTGTTTCTGAGGCCAGAGGTCTGCAGTTTCTGCCCCATGTTCCCTCTCTGGGTTCTTTGAAGAGCTGGGAAGCTTTGTCTAAAACTGACCATTGTTTCCTTTGGGAGAATTACTGCAGTTCTTTCTGCACTGTTGCCAGCACCAGAACTCTCTGGTCTCTACCCACAGGACTGTGTCTTTTTCCTGTTCCCCTGGCCCCCAACCTGCCTTTCTCCTTTTATTTCTGAAGCCTTACAATATTTTACATCTTTGTTGAGAGACAAAAGACCTGCATAAGGTAACTTTGGGGGCCAGTGGTGGTGGCGCACACCTTAATCCCAGCTCCCTGGAGGCAGAGGCCATGGAGGAGTGCTGCTTACTGGCTTGCTCCTAATAGATTGTTCTGTGTGCTTTCTTATAGAACCAGGGTCCACCAGCCCATGGAATGGCACCACCCACAATGGGCTGGGCCCTCCCCCATCAGTCACCAATTAAGAAATCACCCTACAGGCTTGCCTGCAGCCCAGTCTTATGGAGGCATTGTCTCAATTTAGGTTCCCATCCATCAAATGACTTTAGTTTACTGTGAAGCGGACATAAAATTATGCAACGTAATTTCTCTTCTAATCCTACACAAGTCTTCCTAAATACATTAAGGACGTCTCAATCTGATGTTCACAGGCTCTTTATCAGTGGATTCTTTTTGTTTAGCAAAGCCAGAACGGGAGTCAGACTTCAGAAGACAGCAACATGCAACTAACCCTTGATCATGTTTTATGCATTTCTCCACCATGTTATTACCGGAAAATTCTATGGATTTTTAACTTTTAGCCATGACTTCAAAAATTTACATATGCAAAAATATCTCAACTAAAACTTAATGAACGTTAGATGACTGTCTAAGGGTCACACGGTTAGAGCAAGCCATGAGTGAACTAGCAAAGCTAGAAAAACATTGTTCAATAACATTCTTCCCCCAACCAGCAACCAGAGGTGAAGACAACCTAGAGTTCGGAAGAGAAGTCAGGACAAGAAATGTGGACTTGAGAATTCAAAGGCTTGAGACCTTCAGTCCAGTGCCATTGTTAGAATCAGGTCTTATAACTTATAAAGGTTGTTGAGAATGTAGCCATTCTAAGAGGGTCTATCTTTGGTCCCCTGAGATGTTTTTATCCTTACAGGTTGTTACATTTTTGTAAGAATCAGTATAAAATGCTCAATTGCACTTCTGATTTATGTTTTTTCATTTGATTCTTGCTTTGTATTTCTGACCATTGTGAGGATAACTTTCAAATACCTCTCTAAGTTCATTTGTATGAATGTCTCTGATGAAAACTTCTTCCGTTTCAGAAGTATCCATTGTTACCTTTCTTTTTTGCTACATTGATCTTGAGGCTGAAAGAGTTGTAAAATTTTCTTTTAAGCCATTTGACTCTAGTCCTGGACCAGGTCAATATCACCTGAAAAAACGAACACTTCTGTTAGCCAAAGAATATAAAGAAAATAAACCCCTAGAGAGACAGCATTGACCGGAGATTAGAAGAAGGGGCTCTCAGGATGATAATCCAATTTAATCAGCTGTAGGTTTTTTTTTTTATGATCTCCCCACTATCTGCCTTCCCTACCTTGGCTTTTCAAGGGTTGATATGACAACCTACTGCCAATATTTATTCAACAAAGGCACACCTTTATTTTCTTAAGCAACTAGGTTTTTGTTAGTCTCCATGGAGCAACTGGCTCTTTGATCTATTTTGGAGGATGGAATGGCGGGAAAAAAAAATCTGCTAAGGGTATGCTCCCACACATATATGCACAACTGCTGTTTCTGGCAGGCAGCCTGCTAAAGTTGAGTGACACCTAGAACGTGGACTTTAGAACACTTAAGTGACAAGGAATTTGGAGAAGCTGTGGCCATGTGTGTTGTCACCTGAGTATGTTACGTATTCGTTTAGTAAAATTGCTTTTAAGACTTAAAATTGGTTTTCATACATTTTCCTGAAACTGCTGATTTGGTTTCTTTGTATTGATCCTGCTTGGGGTTCAATAAGTTTCCTCCATCTGTAAGCTTGGGAAATTTTTAGTTGCGGCTCCTCAAATATCTCCTCTGTTCCATTCACTTCCCTTTCTTCTTGGGACTCTAATTACTCATAGGTTTCTCTGGTCACAGAGGACACTAAGCTACTTTTCTTTCCTACACTCCCAAGCACGTTCCGTCTGTCCTCCAGGTTGGATAATTCCAAACACTCTGCTTTTAGGATTCTTTACTTTTGCATCCTCCCCAGCCATCTGATGAGCCCCTCATTCTGTTTCAGTTACTCTGTTTCCGGTCACAGAATTTCCACGAGATTCCTTTTTATACCTTTGGTCTCTGTGCTAACATCTCCTGTTTGCTTATTTATTGTATTTTCCTTTCTTCCCTTAAGCGCGGCTTGTTTGTTTGCTTTCAAACTTTATTTTATTCGTGT